TTTATATTTCTAATAATTAATAAAATAATTCAAATCTAAGCATATATACTTGTAACATAATATTCAGATGAATTTACAAATATTTGTTTTAATAATATTTTTTAGAAAAATTTAAATGTAAGTTTAATTAGATATAGTAAATAATAATTAATAAATAAGTATTTAATTATTAATTTTTTATTCTTAAAAACTTATATCTATTCTATTACCAATTTATTCTGCTATAATTTAACATTTTATCATCAATATATCTAATAATTAGAGATCTTTATTTAACTTAATAGATTTTATCCAATATTTTCAATATGAAATTTTAAATAATATTTGGTAGCAGATTCTATATTTTACAAATTAAATGACTATTGAAAAATTATTAATAATACAATTATAATAATAATATTAGATTTATGTATCTAATGCTTTACTTTTATATTAAAAGAAAATACAAAAACAATTAATATTATTAAAGAATAATGATTATGTCTAAAATAATAATAAAAATATTATATAACACTTCATTAATCACAAATGTTTTATAAACTTAACATTATGTTTAATTAAAAAGTTTAGTAAATAAATTTTATTTAATAATATAATTAGTTTCAAGTAATGAATTTAAAAATATTTATTTTTATCTAAAGATGATAATTGATAAAATTCTTATTAAAAAACCTTTTCAATTTTTTGATAATAGTTAAAGATTATTTTATTATTAAAGTAACTTTGGGATATCTTGTAAACAAACTTTCTTTATTATTAGTTTAATTATTTTCAAAATATGAAATCATTTAAATCTAAAAATATCTATGTTTTATTATGTTTAAAAAGCTAGATTTCTAAATAATTTATGAAGATAATAAGAATAATCAATCTGATAGTGATAATATTAATGATGATAAAATAGATAAATAGGTTTAAATTTTAAATAAAAAAGATTTATTTTTGTTTTCTTTAATATTAACAAATTATGAAATAAATAAAAAATATAATTAAAAATATTTTCAAAAAATATTAGAAATGTCTATAGTAATATATAATATAATTAATGATGATTATAAATATTTTAATAAATTAATTTTGAAACATTCAAAACTTAATTAATTAAATAATTTTTATATTCATCAAAGTTTAATAATTGAAATAAATTAAAAAAAGTTTAATTTAATAATTTTTATGACTAAAAGATAATGTTTGACTAGCTACTTATTTCTTCAAATTTATTATAAAAATATATAGTAAATGATATTGTTAACTGTTTTTTATATGTTAATAACTTTAAAAACTAAAAAAAATTTACCTATCACATTAATTTTAGTTTTTTGTATAGTGATCTGATATTGAAAAATTAATACATAATTTTATTATATTATTATATTACCTTTTATATATATAAATTAGTTTGACTAATTTGAATCACAATTTGAACTGCAATTTAAATTGCAATTTATATTAAATAATAAATTGTAATCAGTTTAGTTTATTGTCTAAACTGCTAGTTTATAAACTGAATAGAACTAAACTAAACTAATCTATCTTTAATATAATATAAGATTAGTTTATGTAAAATTATTATAAGATAGAAAGGTAGAAGGTATAGGCTTATAGTAAATGAATATTATATAATATATATTACTGTTTTTATTTACTCATCTATCAGAATCTTTAAACTTATTTTTCTTTATGCAAAAAAGCAAATTCTAAGACTTAGTTTAAAGTAAAAATTTCTATAATATTTTTTTAATTGTAAAAAAAAATACATTTTTTATGTTTATACTAGGTTAATATAAATTAAGATTTATAGCAAGATAATGGTCTTTTACTTTAAAATATTATAAATAATTTTTTACGCATTATATTTATTAGCTAAATTTTAATTTTTAAAAAAACTTTTTTTTCACCTAAAATAAGAAATTTATATTTTTTAAATTCCTAGGTAAAAGGATTTAATTAGTTTTTAATATTCAAAAAAAATTATATAATGAAAAATATAAAATAGAATATAAAGTACAAATATAAAAATAAAATCTATTTATTAATTTATTTAAGAAATTTATTATTGATTACTAGTGATGATTATTACTAGTATTACAAATTTTCTTTTTTGAATATTTCTGTAATCCTATTTGAATTTTTGTTAAAATTAATTTTGTTATTTTGAAATTATATAATATTATTTGACATTTTAAAAAATTATTTTAGTTAGAATTATATATTTTAACTGAAATTAAAAATGTGATATATAATAAATATGATTTTATACTTAAAAAAATTTTTATCTTCTGAATATATAATAAAAATGAAATGTAAAAAGATATAAAATAGGATGTTAAATTATTTATATACTGTATAAAAATTACATAACATTAGTAATAATTACCATTAGTAATACATAGTAATTTTCTTTAATTATGTATAATATATTTATTATATTAAAAAAAAAGGTAATATTAAATTATTTTTTATTGTTAGATTAATTTATTTTTAAAATTATTTTTCATATCTTTAAAAAACCTTTGTTATATTAAAAAAATTCATTATAAATAAATTTATTATAAAAATAATTATTTTTAATTATATATTTATATATTTATTTCATTTAATATTATATAATATTTAACTAGTAAAATAAGATTTTTTTATATAATAAAATTTGTATCACATTAAAATTTATTATATTAAATATATTATAAAAAAGTTAAAAGTATCAACAAACAAATATTTGATAAATTATTAATTTAAATAAACTTAAAATAGAGCTACAAAAAATAGATATAATTTAAATTTATAATAATATTAATAATATTTTATTTGTATTTTTTAAAATTATAAAACTTAAATAAACTTATAACAGTATTAAATTATTAAAATTATTTATTTCTATAATAATTTATCTGAAATGATCATATAATAAATGATGATCAAAAAATTAATAATGCTAAAAATTCAACTAAAACTTTTTATTATTTAATTTATAAAAAAGCAAAATCAATAAATGTATATTTCTATTTTTTATTAATCAAAATTTAATAAGTAAAAGACTAGTATTTTGTATTTTCATCTTTAACTTTAATAATATTTTTAATATGATTAGATATATTTAAAATTAATATGCATACAGTTAATTTTGATATAGTGAACTCTTGATATAATGAATTTTTTAAACAAATATAATAAAAATACTCTTATTATAGTGAATTAGCCAATCAAATCTCTTAAAATCTTCACTATAGCCTTATAGCAAAGTTGAAGTCTAAGACATAGAGTTCATTATAACAGAGTTGACTGTAATATTTTTATATTAAAATTTGTTTATTCTTTTTATATATTTCTAATTAATTTATATTTAAATTTAGGCAAATATTTTTTTTTCATATTTAACATATAAATAGTTTCACAAATACTCAATAGGTTTTAAATCTAAACTTTATGTTATCCAATCTAAAACTAAAATTCTATATATTGCTATTTACTAAGTAATTTAAGGATTAAATGCAATCCTTATTATAAGTCTTCTTAACCTTAAATCATTTCTTGCGTGATTATTTAACTTAAAAAAAGCAAATCTAGATTCATCTAGTCATATAATACTTTTTCACTCTTTTTGCCAATTTTTTTTATATTAGTTTAATTGATCAATTTGGTAGTTTTTAGTTTTTATTGTAATATTCTATTTTATATAATGTTTGTGAAAAGTATTTAGATAATAATTAGTATAAAGTTTATTATTTAACTAGTTTATAATTTTACAAAAAGAAGTAAATTTATTTTTATAAATGATTTTTTATAACAAATATTTTTACAATTAGATAAGACTTTCAGTTATTCAGAATGTTTATTAGTATATAAAAAATAAGTTTTTTTATAACAGTTAATAGTATCATATACTATTAGAGGAGAAATATCAAAATTTGATGATAATTTTAAACCATTAATATCAGCAAGATAAATACTAATAATTTGTTCTTGTTATTTACTTATTAATTCTTTTTTACACATCCTTTTAGTTAAAAAACTCTATAAATAATTTATTCTTTTTATATAAGATTAACAATGGCATTTATTATCAAAAAAGAAATAAATTAATTTTTTAAGACTCTTTAAAAATCAAGCCATTGTGATATATTTTATAATTGCAATATATATGTTTTATATGTAATTATTTATCTATTTTATAATTATAAAATATATGCTTAACTCATATTTATGTATATGTTTTTTCATTTCCATTTTAAGTTTAAAGTTTAAGAATATTATATAAAAATTTTATATAGTAATTATGCATATTTTTAAGTTTTTTTATCAGATTTTTTACTAAGATATACAGAATCCTTTTTTCTAAGTATATTTTATAGTTGATTAATAATATAAAATGTTTTTATATATATGTAACAACGTTTGATAATTTTTATGACCAGGTCACAAACTTTTTAGCTAAAATGACCATGTGACCAGTGACCTGATCACATAAGTCACACAGTACTTCCGATCATTTATTTGAAGTTCCGATAATATTGAAAAATTAAATAAAGTCTGAAGAAAAGTCTGGTGAAAGTAGAGAATGGAACCAGCCAGTATCATGAATTCATCGAGATTTAAAACTAACTTTAATCACTTTTTTCAAAGTTAACATATTTTAGTTATACTTTCTATATTATCTGTTAATTTTAACTTTAGATATTGCATGTAAACTTAAATAAGTGATATTTTATATAGAACATCAATAATTTTATTAGAATTTTGTACGCGTTAGTTGTTTATCAGTTACCTTTTATGATATGTTCCTGCTTTTGGTCAGATTAATCTGTACGACACGAACAAAACCATTTACTCTAAAATTGTTTAGCCGTACTCAATAAAAATCTATAAAAACAAAATAAAAAGGGAATTTTTACGTATAACTACGAATGTGATTGCATAAATTAAACTGTAATATTAATTCTTCAATGTATCAAATTATATCCTAAGACAAGAAATTTTTAATTTTTTTAATTAAAAATAGAATGAAGGAAAGTACGAGTAACATTTTTTCTGTAACAGGAAAATCTATTCTATTTTTGAGCGACAAAATGATTTAAAAATCTTTGTTTAGTTTATTTTTCTTTTTTTTTGTTCTTGAATTATCATTTGATTGGATAATTGAAATTTAAATATTTACCAAGATGAAGTTTAATAATTATAAATTGTTTTTGCAATTTTATCAATCATTTCACTTGCTATATTACAATAAAATCACAAAAAATTTTTACATATGAAGACATACCAACTGTGAAAGTCAGCGACAGTCCACCCGTTATATATAATATAGTTAGTTATTATGATAACACGCTAGTCGTTCATATAATTCGTACAGATCTATTATCCCCTAAAGAAGTTGGCAAACTTTGGTTAGATAAATACTTATCAATTCGCACGGTTTATCCAAATGGGAGCGTTATACCATTAGATATTCAATTGGATATACAAGACTTTAACTTTTGTATCTTGTATATTAACGGAATTCAGGCGAGCCCCATTAGAATTTATCCTATAAGAAGCAATTTTCTGATAGTAACTTATTCGGAAACCACGAATTTAACTGATCCATTTAGTTATACTGATTGGGCAATGATTGTTGATTTAAATGGAAATATTTACAGGTTTGTAAAATTAATCTTATATTAATAAACAATCATTATTAACTTTACTTTCTTTTTATTTACAGCAAAATTTCATTTGGTTCGAGCTATGTTGATGTTGCAACTAATCAATGGTTACCCGGGAAAGCTGTAATTTTCTTAAATTCTAATCCTGACAATGGATTTCTTCGTATGACACCCATGACAAATACCACTAATGCTAGCTGCGAGCAATACGAAGTGTAATTTATCATAATTTTATTTATGAAATCTTATTTAACCTATAACTTAAATTGTATTCTTTTATTTATTTATTTATTTTTTTAATGTAGAAATGAAAAAGGAGAAATTATATTTATGCAAGATATCTTAAATCTATATAATTCTTTTAGCCATATAAATACTGTCATTCCAATGGTGGACGGTAGATACGCGATTGTTTTTGCAAATTATACGGCTTCTCAAACCACACTTGAAACTCCTTTATTCCACGAGGAGGAGTCTATATCATAATCTTAGAATATGGCCATGCAACTAAACGAGATCCAACTGTCTTTTATCAAACTCCAATTTCAGGATTAAGTTTTACTGACATTGATTGCGATGTTTCTTACGTAGGAATAGGACAATGTTGTATAGTAACGGGAGTATTTATCATACGAGCTGTTATTAAAAAATTTTATCTTAAAATTGATTTTCTTTCAAATGGAACCGTAATAAAAGTTTTGCCATTGATGAGTGATCTTCAAACGAATCCATTAATTGAACAATATAATATCGAAGCATTACCGTATGGAGGTTATTTATTAAGTGGAATTGGAACGGATGATAGTGGTATTAGTGGTAAATCTATAATTGAGGGTTATATTTTTAATGACAAACTCTTTATGTGCTTCAAAAGTTTTAAAGAATAATACTTATGTACTAGCTCAGGTGGGAGAGAAACTAAATTGGACTTTGTTCACCATTGAATTGAAGAAATTTGAGATTGAACGAGGTAAATGATTAACTTAAAAAAAATTTCAATTAACAATAAAAGAAAATTTTCATTAATAAATTTTTTAGATCATGGATATAGCAATTTCCATATCGATTCCACTTATCCGCACATTAATGAAATAATTGAACTAAATACAGAATCCCTTGCAATTAAATATTTTAATGCAGTAGAACTTTCAGATGGTCACATTAAAATATTTCATGAAAATGGTAAATTGCGCCAAACTATTCTTAGAATCAACAACGCCTTTGTAACTCAAAGTGTAGATGGAGATTCAACTACGGTCATTGTCAAATTACTTGAGTCCACATTAAATCTACCTGGTAGTAAATACTATGTTACAATTGACAATAATTTTGTAAAAAGCCGTGTTTACCAAGAACCTCTCTATGGTGTAAAAGAGCATGTTTGGTCTTTTACGACACCGAGTATTTATAATTTCTTCTAGTTTTAGTGAAATTGGTAACTTTTATTATTTCTATGTGTACATTTTAATCATTTTCAAATAATTTCAGAAGAAGAAGATTTTTCAGGGAGCGTTAGTGGACAAATTAGATTGACTGCAGAGGGAACTGTACATTTTGAAAGTCTTAACGAGAACGATCGCAAAATGTTCTTTGCGAACTTAATTCGAGAATTGGCTGATGCAATTCCCGTCAGTTATGACCGTGTAACTACCAATGAAAGAAATGAAACTGATGCTTCGACTCCTCAAAAACAATTTCTTTTACCTATTAACATCTTAAACGATAAAACTAGAAAAGAAATAGCTGTTAATTTGGCAAGCCGAGATTTAGATCTTTTGATTAGGAATAAACATATCACTGCTATAGGTTCCGGGGAATATTCAAAATATCTAGATGATAGTTATGGATATAAACTTCGTAAGAATTTATTCCTAATTATTATATGAAGTTTGTTTTTCAAGAAGAAAAAAAATTCTAAAATAAAGTTCTAAATAATAGTCAATTGGGTGAAATCTTCAGTACAAGCCTTATATTAATAACTATAATTGCATTAATAATGATTGGACTTTTCTTTTTAGCCAAACGTAAAAATGCTGATGTAAGTATCATAAAAAATCTGACAATCGGGAATAATAAATGTCTTATTAACAAACATTATGTTATATAGGCTAAAAATACTGCGATATTTCAACTCGTCATCGTTATTTTTGATATTATCATGGATATTGCTTTTTGTATTAAAGTGGCAAAACGCGTTGAAAAATTATTTATTCCAAGGTATCTAATTTTTAATTAAATTAATTAAAAAGGAATAAAAATATTTACGATCTTAATTTTTCTTTTAGTCTTTTATTTTTTATTGTTCCATTTATTGTAAGTTTAATGATTGCATTTAGAATTATAAAAAAAGAGAAAAACATAAAGTATTTTTGGAATGGTCAAGAGAGAATAAATATGTTGTAGATTTATTCACAGTATTAGCAGGATCAGAGGTTGAAGTTTTAACCGTACTCGAATCAAATATTTGGAATTTTGATTTTTTCAATGCTAAATTTTCTAAAGAAGGATTAAGCGGAATGTTTTTGGGATCTTGCTTTAACGTTATTTTTGAAGATATTCCTCAATTGTTTATTCAGGTATGTAGTCTTTTTGCATCTTTTCTTTTATATTATTTATAAATATTAATTTCATAAATTGCAGTAGCTTTTATATATTAAACATTTGGTATATTATGATGTTATACTTTTATTATCACTTTCATCAACCTGTTTTTGTTTTGCTTAATAATATTATTGGGAGATTGGGAGATGTTATAGTTTTAGAGATCATGGTAAAACAATTTGTGGAATCACTGACAATGTTAAAAAGTCTAATGCCCAATCTAATGAAATGTATGATGAAAATTCTGTTGAAAATTCAGATGAGAATGTATCATTCATTGAATGATAATAGTAATACACATTCTGCTATATTTTTGGAGAAAAAGAAATGAATCCTTTTTAAAAGCCTTTGGAAATAACTTTTCATTTAATGTATGATGTTATTTACTTTAACCAGGAATTAATCTAGAATTATATTGCAAACGTAAATTTAATATATTGTATCTAGGAAGCTGTATTCTCAAAATACCATAGAATTTCTTATAAAATAAATTTTACATGATTCCATTAATTTCGAAGTTACATCAAAGCACATCTTGAGAATAAAATTAAACTTAAACGAGAAATGTGCAGGTCTTTCCAATTAAAGAAATTATTTAAAATAAAGGTATTACTTTAATATTGTAATCTCACTCATGAGATATCTATATCGTGCCCAATTTAAGCACGATAGCACTGATGAAGTTATACATATCTTTGTAACTTTACTAGTAATCTATAAGAAAATGGTTGTAATTTAAGAGAAAGCTTTCATATACCGAATAGTCTTTATTTTAATAATGATATGTTAATTTTGGCTGAAAATATGTAATATTATATTGAAATATGTATACGTTCAATAACACCAAAAAACTAAAATACAGAAACAATAGCAATCATCCCGCACATAACGTTTATTTAATTTAACAAAATTTTTATTAAAATTCAGATTTTTCTTTCAAATTATAATTTGGAAAAAATAAAAAAATGTAAAATTTTTATTATCCTAAATATTACCAAACAAACCACAAAAACTTTTGCATATGAAAATTATATTTGTAGTAACTTTACAGTTCACGATAAGCATGTACGATTGGATTTTTCACTTTTTTTATTCCTTGCATTTCACTTATCCTTGACTTCGTCTGTTCTTTTCTTTTATGATTTTAACCCAGTTGCATTTTTTATTATGTCAAATGTCAATTAAAGCAAATTAAACCGAAACATTTTATCAATCCAATTTTAAATAAAACGTACACCGCCCGGACAAAAAGTATCCGGACACCTTCGGAATTTATTAATAAATAATATATGAAATAGCTTTTTTAAATCTTCAGGTAATCGGTAAATATCACGAGACATATTACGAATTTATATGATTTTCGAAGTCAAATGGTTATAGTTTCATAAAATAATGTCAAAATCCTATGAATTTCCTATGATTATTCTTAGAGATAACTTTAAACCTATATTAACGAGGTTTTATTAACAATTTGTTAAAAATATTTTTGGAATATTTTTTCAAAATATTTAGTCAATAGTAAAATTTTAATAGTGGTTATATTATGAAATAAAGTGATACAAGGTTTTAAAAAAATGCTGTTTTATATTTTTACAATAAATTCCGAAGGTGTCCGGATATTTTTGTCCGGGCGGTGTACATAGTAATAATAAAAGCAGTGAAAAAAGTTTTTTGAAAACTAATTTAACTTTTAAATTAATTTCTATAGTTTTATTTATTATATTGAAAAAAAGAAATGTATTTCGTGTGCAATTCATCTTAAATCTCTATATCTTTTGTCTTATAAACACAGTCGTTCCATTATTAGACGCTATATACGCGATTGCTTTTTTCCAATTATTTATATAAACTTAGAATGATTATCACACATAACTATCATTTTTTTTTTTTTTGTTCTTATTCTTATTATTGCTTTCTTAAAAAACACGTACTTCCGTTTCCCTTGCTACTTTAAAAGTTTTGACGGACGGAAAATCCGACTGATGATTAGGATCATCTTATGATTATAATAATTATAGCTATCGGCTACAACTAGATCATGTGAGGCGCAGTTAATACAAAATCGCCAGTTTCCTAAAAATCCTCTGAAGATAACCAAAAGTTTGATGGGCAGGGCAATATGGTTCATCATCCAGCAAAAGTTGTGACAATTCATTGGTCTAAATCAAATTTATTTTTACAATAAACTTAATTTGATTGAAAACAAAATTTTAAATGTATCATAACGAAAAAAGATACATAAATCAGGCTAGGCTAGGCTGGTCACATTTATCAAAGTTATTATTAGCAGGTGTGGAATTAACTTATAGGACGATAGGAATGCATTTGGCTGATAATGGATATCAAAAAAAAACCTTTAAAGAGCAACGCCAATGATGACCATGAATCACGAACATAAATGTGTAGAGTGGCCCAAAAGCATATTAATGTTGATTGGAAGATAATTTATTTTAACATGAATCTTCTTTCCAATTCTTCCGAAATATCATGTACCGTTGGTAAAAGAGACAAAGACCGATACGTCCTATGCCTTCCGAGAATTGTTTATTTTCTCCGTAAATTTTTACACGAAACTTTAGAGTCTAAAATACTAGGAGTATGCGTGCCTAAATATCGAAAAGAAGATCGTACAGAAATTGTAGAAAAAAATATATATTTAGAAAACAGTCTTGAGCTAATCGAAGTTTGATAATTATAAATAATAAAAAAAATGACAATCAACTCCTCTTGTGTTCAAAGTAAACTTGCGGAACAGAAAAAAAATAATATCTAGATAACAAATATTTGTAAATACTGTATTTGTACAGTTTATTTCCCATTATATGAAAATTGTAAGAAAGATGTATTAAAAATTTGAACGTACAGGTAATTCAATTTTAGCATCTTTTCTGTAAGTAACCTTGTCCAAAAATTGTAATGTTTTTTTTTGACACAAAAACCGTACGGAATTTTCATAGGGTAGGAAGGATTCCGCATAAAGGAAAAATGAGAAATTGTTGGGAGATGTATAGCGGTTTTCCGAAGGGCGATGATATGAAGCACCAGCAAACGTGCTAATATCTAGAAGTTTTTTACTGCCTTCTATCTAAAAGATCTAAATCTTTGAAGTATTATTAAGAGAAGCAAATGCAAAAAAAAATATTATTTACGCCAGTCAAATGAGTGAGATGATATTCCACAGTCGACCCTAATTGGGTTAGAACGACTATTGCAAACTTATTATAGAAAGGTCCACATTTCGTTTTGAAAAATTATGAATTTTTATACAATTTATTGCATGAATCCGGATTTTTTGTCCCACATACTGTAGTTTCTTTCCTTATGAAAGTCTTAACGAAGTTGCATTGTCTGGTCAAAGTTGCTATAATAAAAGAGGAATTGCCTTGCTTGTGATATCTTATAAGGAAAGGAAGAACTATTATTGCTTCTCATAAAAGCGGAATAAAACTGGGATGCATATTTTGGATATTTGCCGCTAACTTATTATCTCAGAATAAAAGGAAACGAACGACTAATGATGACAAATTTGTAAATAAAGCTGACGCATACAATTGTTTTAGTAACACCAAGCTGGTGGCTTCACATGCGTATGTTGAGTTCCATTATCTGCATCAAGATTATCTCCCGAATATGGAAGTTTAACTGAAATGATATTAGTACGAATTGTGCTGCATCTAACGAACCTGGTGTACGTAAAAGGTAGAGTAAATATTGACAAGGTTTGTCAAACCAAGATAATATAGTTGCACAGCAACCAGCAATCTACCATTATTTCTCATACACGATCATACAGGAATTTGACTGGCAAAGGTTTGATCAATTTAAGTATTCCATAAGCATAAAGCCTTGTTCATTTATGGCATACCATTTCCGTTCATGTACAGATGTTATTTATGGGTAGATAATCCGGATTTAAACCGAATGCTGGATAAAGACCGGATATCTTTTAAGGTGCGGATGGTATTCCGAATGGCGGTATCAAAGCACTAAACCGGGTAAAGCCATAGCTTGCTAGCTTTGTGTTGTGAACAAAAATAGTATTTTCGGTCGAAGTCCGATATAGCAACTTCAATTAACAATATTATTTTGTGCAATGTGCTACGAATATAATGTCGATCTATTTATCAACCGCAGTACCACGTTTGAAAATGTTATTTACAATAGCCTAATATAAATTGTCCGCGAGTCTGTATCAACTCGTATATAATGAACAAGTTTCGGCCTTAAAGGAATGGCTTTTCCAATAGCGTAACAGGGCAGGGCAGTTGTGGTTATTTCGGGAAGGCTTATTGAAATATTTTTTTTTTCTTAGATTTGGCGGATTGCGCATAATAAATTTAGCCTCTAATAAACCTATTTAATACGTTTGTTTTTGGTCTTTAATTTCGTCGTTTTTTAAAATATAATCTATCGTACTTTCTTATTACCAAATTTTTATTTCAGAAATGAGTAATAAAGTTTCTATCGAAATTCCACCTCAATATGACGAGACCCCAGATAAAGGTAGTCCTGTTAGTATGATGAAATTCTCCCCCGATGGAAAATATCTTGTTACTTACAGTGAAGTCGACGAGACATTTGTCTGTTGGAATGTTGGAAGTATTAAAGATGTATTAGAAAGTAAATGCATAAAAGCAAGCCAATCTTTAAAAAGTTGCGAGAATGAATTGAATAGTAGTATTATCCATATGTGTATCTCTAATGAAATGATATTAGCATATATTGATGATGAATATGACATTAGTAAGTACAATAATTATATTTTTGTTTTAAATTGTTAATAGATGAAAATTTCAGTACCAATTATTTATTATAGGAATCATCGATATGAATGAACCATTTCAAGAAATCAAATTGTATTTTGAATTTGATGAAATGAAGGTAGAATTTTGTAACTTCAACAAACACGGACAACTGTTACTGTTTTGTTCTGTCAGTACAAACACTAGATTTGAATATATAAATATTGTTTGTGTTTATTTAATCATAAAACAAAGCAAAAAAACCAATTGTCAAAAAATTTACAAGATACCTAAAGAAGCGGAGGTAATTAGCATATCAAAGGATGACAAAATTTGGCTGAATTACAATCACAATATATATGAATGGAATCTTTCTAATAAGTATATTATAATTCTAAGAAAGAATATATATGAGGTAATGGATAATTATAATAATTTTTATGATGTGTTAAAAGTTATTACCAACATTTAGTTCTTCAATCAATTAAAAAACAGATTAACATTGAAGATATTAGAATATCAAATGATCAAGATTATACTTGCCTGAAAATGGATGATGAGAAAATTATTATTCATTCAGATAAACTGGGAATTTCTAAGTCATTGGATTTGAATGATGGTAACATTTTGTTTAAACTAAATTTTAAAATATAATTAATATAATTATTTATATGACCTATTAAAGTATTTTTTCTTTAGAACAATTGAAAAGCTTTATGATACATCATCAACATTTGTCATATTTTTTATTTGATCATCGTTTGATTTGGAATCCTGACACTAAAGGCTATAATATTGAATCAGAAATTTATAAATTTGTAAATTTAGAACATGTAGACAAATTTCACTTGGAATCATCAGCGGTATTAAAAAAAGAGGAGCTTATAGAACTTGATGAATTATCTCAAGAACAAATTGATTTGTTTAATAAGTATGAATTAGATAAAGATTCTATTATATGGAAAATTAAAATTGAAGGATTAGAGAATCAGAAATTTAAAATCGATGAAGCTCTGAATATTGATACGGAAAATTTTATTGAAATGATTTCTGATATTAAAAAAAATGAGAATGATGTTGAAAGCCGAATAAAAAAATACAAAAATACAATCAAAGAATATATTATTAAAATGAATAGTATAATTAAACTAGATATTAAATCTGATGAAGCTTTAACGTTGGATTTTATTGAACTGATAACTAAAATTGAAAAAGAAGAGAAAGATCATAAAAAATGGAAAAGCAGAATCGAAAAATTAACGAAGGAATTTACTAAACGTATAACAAAAGTTAAAAATTTAGCAGAAAGTTCTTATAATATTAATATTGAAGAAAATTATTTGTCTTTTAGCAAAGATTTCATTCGTTTATTTGGCGCAGAAAAATATTTAAGACACGCAGATAAATCAAGAAAAGTAGATGACAAAAAAGTCCAAAATATCAAGTTTCTTGCTCATAAATCAATAAATAAGAATAATATAGTTATATTAACAGAAGCTGGCATTTTTATTTTTCAATTAATCAACGATGAGAATTTAGTTTCTTTGAGTTACTATCACATGTATAAATTTAATATTTATGAAAATATAGGAGATGATGATAATGTTAAATTAATTCGTGGATGGGTATCATATGTTCAAGAGAATAAGAAAGAATTTTTAAAACACCTCCCTCATTTATTAAAATTCACGGCTGATGCAGAATTAACAGATGAAATTTATAATTATGTTAAATTGAATAGGGAAGATATTTTAAAATATGGTTCTACAATATTAAGAAAAGCGATTAAGATACAAGCTTCAAACTTAATAGAGAAAATTTATAATGAATGTTTAGATCTCTTTAAAAAAGATTTAGAAAACAATAATGCATTCTTAAGCATTATAAATAAATCAATGCCATCATTGGATAAACATTATCCCGAATATATTGCAAGATATTCATCAGATACAAATATGATCATAGATTCTCCAAAATATAAAATCGAACTACTAAATACAACACATCTTTATCCTTTTTCCAATATTGGTATTGTTAATTTAACGCCATCTATTTTTTGGACAAAATATACTGCTCAAGTGGATCACATTTATTACTATACTGAAAATATAATGATTAAACTACTAATGAGGATTTATTTCGCAAATCAATATATAATATTTTTTTTGACATTACCTATTTCATTAACTTTATTTCATATTTTAAATAAATTTCATATAATTAACGAAATTTACATTGATGGGTTTTCTGAATTTTATTATAAATGTAGTTATTATATAAGTGATTCGATCTTTCCGGAAAAACTGATACCTACACTTACTTTTATTATTCCTTATATCAAATTTGTTTGTTATTCGGATTATGAGGAAGAATATAGCTGGTGGGAATTAATTAAGCCGAAACCTAGTCCATTCATAAAAACAATAAATAGAGAAATATACAAAACATGGAATGGTGAAGCATTAATTAATTTCAAGTGGAATTTATATGGAAGTTATTATTATTATGGAATTTGGTTGCTTTTTACCGCCTTATTAGCATGCTTTACGGCTGCTTCAACATATTCTGAAGATATTGTATCTGAAGGCATCAGAAATCCACTTTTAAAAGCCACAATAGTACTTGGAATTATTCACTTAAATTTCGAACTTCGCCAGATATATTATGATCCTATTAAATGGTTTATTGATCCTTGGAACTATTTTGGTAAGAATTTTATTTATTCATGCAAACTTTACAAACGCTCATCGGGTATCTAATATATTTTGGAAATTTTTTTTTTTAAGATTTTGGAGCGTATTTAGTTCCTACCATTGCATCTTTTTATTGGTTACTTACAAAAGATAAACCCCACTTTTGGCTTTCAATTTCATGTCTTTTATTAGATTTTAAATTTTTATTGTTTTTCAGAGCATTCGAATTATTTGGTGTTTATTTTGTAATTGTCGTTAGTGTTGCGAAGAAGATTTCTTCCTTTTTGGTTATTTTATTTATTGTACTTTTGAGTTTTGCTCACGCCTTTTGGATTCTGTTAAAACCGCGAAAAGAATTTAGTTTAGATGAACCTCCTGCAAACCATGAAGATCCCAATAATCCTTGGGAATTAACTGATAAATATACTCAAAGATTAGACGATGGAACCAATGAAACATATGTTCAACAACCTGATAAGAATACGAACATGTTTACTACTTTCAGAACTTCACTTTTATCAATGTATTTATATCTCACGGGTAAATTTATTTCCTTTTAAACCTTAAAAAAAAATTTATGATTTAGTTAATTATTGTTAATCAATTTTGTTAAATAGGCGATTCAAATGCTTTACCCAACTGGGAATATCTTGATAATCCAAAACTTACCATATTAATGGTTTTATTCTCTTTATTAATTGCTGTGTACCTAATGAATTTGTTGATTGGATTACTCAGTAACGCTATTGATGAAGATAATAATAGAGCTTCGTATTTTATGCAAAAGGCGAGGGTATATATTTATTTACAAAGTACCACTATATAATTAGTTTTTTAATTTTTATATTTCTAATAATAAATTTTATCTAAACAGATTTTGGAAGAGATCGAATTATTTTACTTATTTCCAAATCAGAGACGTTGGAAAACCTGGTTTCCTGACGTGATGTAAGTGTTTTGTCGTAGCTTTCTCAAGTTTTTTTAAAATTTAGCTTAATATTATTTTTTTTACTAGATATTACCACGCCAATGTTGAAGAGACACGTAAAGAAATTCAGAAACTAATTCAAAAAGAATCTCATACTGAGAAATTTTCAGATATGAAGGAAGAATTACGAAAGATTTAATAATAATCCTGGGCATGATATGCAAAAATAAATGAAATTAATTCAAGTGAGAAGATATAGTTTAATCTTCATTTATGTATTAATGGAAATTGGGTTATTTTAAAGTTCAATTAGAGATATTTTAATTTTTTTTCATAAAAGATTATTAGTATTTAAAATTTTTACAAAATTCGAAATTTTATTTATTCAATAAATTATTATTAAATTTTTTTTTATAGACTCGAATTTTTTTTTATAGTATGTTATTTACTTAAATGTACGTGAAGCACTAAACTTTTCATTAGTAATGTAACAAGGGTATTTCAATCTCTTTTTTTTATGGACAGGTCTGACCTGATCATAAAAATTAGCCAATTATAATTTCGCAAAATAACTTAGCGATCGTTGCTACATTTATATCGTATCCGATGAAATAATTGACATTTCAAGTATATGGAAAACCGGTACGGTACGATTCGCCAGACCAGTACGGTACGATTATGCAGATCAGTAATTTTGATGAAATTTGACATCGTACCGTACCGGTTTTCTATCTACCCTTTCAAGTCAAATGAAAATAAGAGTATATGGAAAACCGGTACGGTACGATTCGCCCGCCAAACCAGTACGGTACGATGTTGCAGATCAGTATTTTTTCGCGAAATTTGAATCGTACCGTATCGTATCGGTAGTATATTATAGGACCAGTACGGTATGACCTTTCGTAATAGACGTTGATAACAGGGTGAATTATTAAAAAGTTTGTAATGTTTTAAAATTAAAAATTTTAACCGATTATTGATTATATTCCTTATTGAACAAATTCATATTAAAATAAATTATTGTTTTTGCAATTAAATTATTTTGATTTTTATGTAGTAATGCTTTTCTTTTTAATTTAATTCAATTAAAGTTATTTTGACAAACATACCGTTATGTCAGAAATATAAACTTTAAGATTCTAATAATGATGCAGTACAAACCAGAACGAATTTTCTAAATTCGTACCGTACCGTACTGGTTCTATAATAAAGCTTTATATATATACTACCAGTACGGTACGGTACGATTCAAATTTCGCGAAAAAATACTGATCTGCAACATCGTACCGTACTGGTCTGGCGGGCGAATCGTCCCGTACCGGTTTTCTATCTGCCCGTGAAATATATAAAAATGGTTGACCTTCCCATTCTTTTGATCCATATTCTAAACAACATCTATTGAATGATAAAAAGATTGATTAAAAAGAATTAGATATTAATTATTTGATAATATAATATTACATTTACTTTTCATTTTTATAAATATACTGTAACGAATAAATAAGTATTGTTTTTTTCGAACGTTAAGCATGCTTATTAGTATTTATAAATTTAGCTTTTATACTGTATAATTAAAAATTTCAAATTAATAACAATGGTTTTCGTCTATCAAAAATCTTGCCCCCATCATAATATTTACCAGTCTAAACTTTTACCACCTGTCAAAATTATTCACCCGTCGAAACTTTCGCGGTTTTTCCTTTAAAAAAAAAAATTTGGCAAAACGTCAAAACTAGCTTCGATTTTGCCACCTATCGAAACCTCAAGGATTTGCCAGGCAACCTTAGATTGAACTAAAAAAAATTTGCATGCCATTTATTATATTTTTTGCAGATTAAGAATTTAAAAAAAATTGAATGTAAGGCAAACTTGTACTGAAATATTACTTACCATTTACATTAAATTTTACGACAGTTTTTAGTCTTCAAAATGGTTTATGGATTGTTTGAAACACAGGAAATCGAATTCCCAACAAAATATAACCCGAATACCGAAATCTTGAATTACCCAACTCCAATTTGGCGAAATCCTGATTAAAGTGATGATGCTTTTATTTATTTTTAAATTAATATCTAAACATAATCCTAATTTCCAAATTAATCCTAATTTATTGACAAGTCAATTTAGAACATTCTGAATGACGTAATTGTGTTAGATGCGGATCTCGGTTTTTGGAATTAAGATATATCTTTAATTGTTAATGTCATTTCGTTCGTTACATCTACATATTTAATGTTTGTCTTGGATTACTTTAATTCATTTCTCAAATAAGTTTCGCATTTTTTTTTTTTTTTGCTTTTATTTTCTTAAATGTTAATTTGTTCTAAGGCTTGATTTTATTTACGTTATACCATTTTGAATTAGGCCGAACATCCTTATCTCCCTTTTAATTTTAATCTTTTCTCCTCGCTCTTGACCTATTGCACTCTTTATCTGGTTATAATCAAAAAGAATATTTCTCGTATGTTGGTCAACTTGCTAGTCCACCGCAATTATTGATAACTATTTTTGCGGTGTTTCGATGCGCCACTTTAACGCTTTGACTATTGTTTTTTTCTCGACATTGTATTATTTTGTATTCTTTATATTGTCATTTATCATCAACTAGCCTTAAAAATTATTTATAATAATTTATAAATTCTTGGTTTGCAAATTTTTATTTTTTTTCGATTTTTTTTATAATAGGATTAAATAGACATGCAAATCTTTCTTTAATAGATTCACTACATTTTCAGCTATTAATTAATACCTCTAATAAAAATATAGTCTAGAGAAAAAATTATGGAGGGTGAAGTAATTATTATATTCAAATAAAAAATTTATTACATATGACGTCTAAATTTTTATCATATCTATTTGCGAAATATTTTAGACAAATAAAAATTACTGACCTCCTTTTGCCAATTTTTTTTTTTTTTGTATTATTATACATTTTCTTGATTCTATCATTATAGCATTAATAATTAACGTTAACTAAATATTGAACAAATAGAGAATTTAGGACCCGCCGTCACGAGAACTAAATTGTTGTGACCCCGCTTATGGTTTTAATATGCTGCAATTATCATTACATAAGCAAAATATGTAAAAATATATCGGTGGCTGCTTGCTATAACTATAATTGTGAAAGGATGTAATGTAGGGAGGACGATAACAAAATATCGAAAAGGATATTGTCGAAAGTGTGGCGCAGAAACCTTTTATTTTTGTAATAGTTTGGTTATTATTTTGATAAATATACTACAAGGAATCGATATTGTTTTGTTCTTGTGATCAAAGTACAGTACAATAAGCTATAATCAACTTTTACCAAATAAAAGTTTAAAATAATAACAAAAAGTTAAAAATAGATTTTGTTTTGAATACTCATCTTACCCACTTTAAATTAATGGATGGTTCATTGAAAACAATGAAATAGTTATTCATTATCGCTATCTGTCTTCTTAGTTGAATATTTTAATGATAAATGATTTTGATTTTATATTACAACAAGAGACGCCTATCTGAGGTTCCATTTGAATGAAAAATGATTAAAATTCTTGCTTTACCACTTTTCATAGTTTTAAATTTACTTAATGGATTAAAGAATAAATAAATCACTTGCATTACAATTAATTTATTATTTGATCCTTGTATATCAAAAAAATTAAAGTAAATTCTTAATATAAATTATCGTTTAAATATAAACATTAAATTATAAACGTAACTTAATTTCTTTATTAATGAAGAGCTGAAGAGAGAAATTCACTTTCTTGCGGAAGATATCATAAATTTTTAGTCTTATAAATTCTTGTTAATATAATGGATGGATTTAGCGAACGAGAACCAGTTAGGCCGGGCAAAAAAATTTTTTAGATTCTCGTGACCCGACCGCCTCAATTTTTACAAAAACTCATGATTTTTTTTTATAGTAAAATTTTTTTATCACGTGACTTTATATAATGAAAAATCGTAATAGCATATACTTTATTATAAAAAAATTTAACATACTATTTTCGTTACTTGAAACTTGATATTCTTAGCACGTTTTTTTTGTCAGAAACTGTCATATAACACTCACTACAATAATAGTAATATCCTTCATTTACCTTACTATTTGCGTA